CTCTTTTTATACCCAAAAAGGTGACCTGAGGCTGTTGCCCGTTGTCACATGATCCCCAGGAAATATTAACCAAAACTGAAGCTATGAGGAGGGCAGAAAAGGGATTAATGGTTGGGCAATTGCAGATAATGGCTTGGCTAGGAGTGAACCATTTTAGAAGAATAGGAACGACAAAGGAGGAAAGAAAGAACCGATCAGGTTGCAGGACTGGTACTTGGGATTAATGAACAGATGCTTGACAGCTGCGTTATCTTGATGGGATGCAGGAAGACTTGATGATTTACTGATGTCGTCATCAGACACATCCTTTTGTTTTAGTCTGGAGAGGAATGCGTGCTTCTTTTGGTTATGTTAATACGTGGAGATGGGGGGGGATGCCTGCGTGATGGAGAAGGGGATTGTTCATGGCGTCTGTGCAGGAACATCTTGTCCTTTTGCAGAGCATGGCTTCCCTCTGTGATCCGCTGCTGTTTCTGCTTGTATGGAGGTCAGGGCTGCTGGTCTGGATCCTGTTGCTGGAGATGCAGGAGCAGGAGACTTCTTATAGTCCAGGAGACTACATCTGGCTTTGACATGATGCTTAGGCGCAAGGCTCCCCTTGGCTAAAGCACATCCTTCTGGTTCAGTGTAAAGGCATTGCTTTTGGGCTACAGTATTGTCCATTGCCCCGACACACTCTTGTCACAGTTCAGCATTGCAGTCATATTTAAGAGTCTTTACTAATGCCATTTGAATTGGCTTCATGGCAACAATTAAGTGTGAACCAATGGCTGCTGGTGTAAGTGGGGCTTCCTGCAGTGTAATGGGACCAAGTCATTTAGTAAGAGCCTCTGAATGATAAGAGAGGTGGAGGTAACAACTGAAGGATTTCCTGAGATGTAGAATCATGTTTATGTAAAGTCAGTCTTGTCACAAATGGCTGGGCAGCTGACTGGGGGCCCATCTGTTAAGAAATGAATATGGTAGGTCGTTTTATTTCTTTCTCCTCCTTATTTCTCATTGCTAGCTTAAGCTAAAAATTGCAGGTCAGCCTGAAGGCTAACTCCAAGTGAAAACCCGGTGAAATACATAGGGGGCTGTCTAGAAATTACATTAAAACCTTCCCTTCCTCTTTTTCATCAATTAAAATACTGCCGAAGTCTCCTGTGAAAGCCGATTTCAGAGTTGCCTATGCTGTCCTATTTGAAATCATACAACTAAAAAGGCCCAAAGTTCATGGCTGAGCATATGTTTTGTATGGAAAATGTCCCGTGTTCAATCCCCAGCACTTTTAGAGACAAAGTAGCCCCAGTAAATAGGGTTAGGAAAGTTCTCTCTGCCTGTGACCTTTGAAAGTCCCTGCCATTCAGCCTGGGCATGATGGGAAAGTGGACTGCGCTGGTATAATGTGGTTTCATATATTTGTAGGTAGACTCTGCTTGGTAAACAGGATGTTGAGTCAGACTTGTGCCCTTCTTAGCATCAGAGGGAAAAGTTATTCACTCTCAAAACAGCAAAACTTTATTCTAGGGAAACTGATGGACAACATCCGTACGGCAAACAGAAGTAGGTACTACTTAACATAGTGCTTAGTTAATGGAGGGAATATGTTGCTACAGGATGTTTCCACAGATCTGATTAAAAAACCTTGTTTTCTCTCCTCCCAATTGTCACGCTGAATTTTAGTTTGTAACCCCAACCCCACTTCTAAGCTTTCATTTTTAAAGTTCTGTTCCTTCCTCCCGGCCCTTTTGGTGTACATTTCTTAGAAGCAAGCAAACCCAGTTAAGAACATAAGAACATAAGAGACGCCAATGTTGGTTCAGGCCAAAGGCCCATCCAGTCCAACACTCTGTGTCACACAGTGGCCAGAAATACCAGTGCCATCAGGAGGTCCACCAGTGGGGCCAGGACACTAGAAGCCATCCCACTGTTGACCCCCCCCCCCAAGCACCAAGAAGACAGAACATCACTTGCCCCAGAGCCCCAGTTTCTAAACAATTTACAGTGTGTGTGCGTTTGTGTGTAATTTTGATACACCTTGTATTGTGTGGCTTAGCTCACACGCTCTTCATGCACTTAGGTGTGGTGGACCTGGTTAGCTCCTGTTTCATTTGGGGCACTGTGTGATCTGTGCTGTGTTTAATTTATGGATGGTCATGCAGGGATTTGCAAGGGATCTTGTGATCATCCTTTAAAAAAAAAAATCTTTGGGTTGAGGGGTAAACTATTGCTTGTTCCGAGAGTTGGTTCATAGTGGTTTTTGTATCAGTGTTATTAGTGAATGCAGCTTACACCAGAGTAGGAACATGTGAGGGGATTTCAAAGCATTATTTGACCTCTGCTTTTTGCCAGCCCTGGACACCAGTGTTCCCTCTAAGCTGAGTTAGTGTGTGGTACACAGTTTTTTAGCCTGCGGCTCACACACTTTTGTCTTAACTCAGGAAGGATGGCTCCAGAGCAAACTAATTTATGCAGCAGCCAAATCACTCACTCACAACTTTAATGCCAGTAGCTCACAAAGTAGAATTTTTGCCCATAAGACTCCACAGCTTAGAGGGATCATTGCTGGACACTACAATTTGTGAGACAGTAATGATAAGAGGATGCCTTTGCTCACGAGCTTAGCCCTGGAATATATTTTCTATGTGACAACTCAGTTCCCAATTTTATGTGAAGCAAATCAGATGAGCAAGGTACTTTCTCCTAATTGCTGAGAAGATTCAGGGATGGGGCCTTATGGAACAGACTTTTACATTTACCTCTTTCTGAATGTTGGCACAGAATGTGTGATTACTGTTGAAAAGGATATGATAGAGGATAGATCAGTGACTGGAGGACACATAGCAAGAGACATGGACTCCATGTTTGGAACTGGCGCAGTGAAGTCTAACAATAGCTAATATTGCCTTTGTGCCCAGCTCATAAACTTTCCTGTAATTCTTGGATGGCAGAGGACAGACTGTTGAGATAGATGGCACTATTGGTAGGTATGGGAATTCGAATGTTCTTTTATTTGGTGAGATCATTGAGGCTTAAATAATAGGTATTATCTTGCTTCGTTTGTATATCTTGTCCTTAAGGATCAACATGACAATAGGTCTCTGTAATAAACTACCTGAAGATTTTAAGCACAGGTCAAAATTTACTTGGAGAAGTTTCAGTGAGTGAAACTGTACAGCTTCTCTAAGGATAATGTACCAGGTGTGTGGTCTGAATATTAACAGGAAAAGCTACTTACCGCTATCAATGTTCCAGGGTCTTCAGTTATAACAACCTACTCCCTCTTGGAATCAGGGTTCACAGTAAAAACTTGATGAATGTCCCCTGCCCCTTGTGATTCTATCCCATACATACAATCTCATAAGTAATGAAAAGAAAGATAGCCATGTTATTTCTGAAATGACGTAACTGGAACATATCATCATCAGCTTGCGACCTGAGCTGGTCTTTCCAGGACCCGGCAAAGTGTATCTGTTCCACTCACCCCCCCACGCCCAGCTACAGCACTGCATGAAGTCTAATAGCTTTGGCCTTATCTCTGAAATTGAGCATGCATGTTGCCAGTATTGCTGCAAGCTCTCTTGGAGATGGTTAGTGGTAATCTATAGTAATAATAGGATTGCAGAGAGTTGGCTGAAAAAGACGGCATGGTATTGTTTGCAGCATGCTACATAAACTGCCCCCTGAAAAAATTTACAAGTGAGGACCTGTGATTCTCATTGGGGGGGGATCCCTCCCCCATCGCTGCCAGATCCCCACACACATGACTCAGTTGGGGGGAAGATTCTTGGGGAGGAGAGTCTCATATCCCCTATCACCAAGCCTAGTGTGGCTTCAGGCTGCACCACCTACACTTGGGCTGGTGTCCTCCTCTGCTGGCCTGGAGCAGCAGTCAGTGTCCTCCGCTGCTGCAACTGGCCCCGCAGCAGCTGTTGGTGTCTCTGCCGTCACAGGCCTGGAGGAGCTGCCGATATCTGCCAGTGGGCCTGTCTGTAGCAGCTCTGTTCTGCTCCAGTAGGAGTGCTGACTGTGCGTGTGCATACCATGCAAATGTATTTTGTGGGGATTGAAACCCCCCCCCCCCATATTTTTGATTTCAGATTTTTCCACAAACCTGGGGAGCCACCCAAGTTTGCTGAAAAATCTGTTTAACATCAATGTGACCCCAATCCACAGATTTAGGTATCCACAGTTGGAGGAACATGTCACTAAAAGAAAGTAGACAAGTGGGGGCCTGCAAGACTCATGGAGGGGAATCCCATCCCCTCACTCTCTTGCCAAGCCCAGTGCAGCCCCGGGCTCTCCAGCAGCCACCACCGGGTCCTGTCGCAGTGAGATTCACTGTTGCTAGGACAACAATAAGTCTCAGAAAGCTTGGAGGCAGTGCTGGTACTACATATGCCCACTAAATACAGAGCCCTGGGTGCAGCCCCTGGGCTCTCCATGGGCTATGCCGCTATTGCTGGGCCCAGCATGGCTCCTGGGGTGCAACACCACTGGCAGCATGCCAGAACAGCTTCTGTGCTTTGGTGGCATGCCCAACCCAGTTCCCCAGCTGCGCCCGCATGCCCAACATGGCTCTTGGGTTGGGTGGCCGCCGCCAGGCTCAGTTCAGCTCCCTGGCTGTGTAGCTGCTGCCACCAGGCCCAGAGTGGACCACTGCTGGACCAAGCGTGGAGCCCCAGGCTGTGCAGCTGCCAACCACCTGAGGTAAGTGCGTTCTTTTTATTTTGGGGGGGAATTAACTCCCCACTTTTTTCATATTTTTCTGCAAACTTGAGGAGTGCCCCAAGTTTGCTGACAAATCTGTTTAGCTTCTAGGCCCTGATCAGTGTATTTAGCTATCTGGAAATGGTGGCCATGGGTGGCTAACAGTACTGCTGGTACAGTTGTTGGGTGTGGGGTGTGATGGGGATGAGATTCACTGTTGCTAGGACAATAATAAGCCTCAGAAGGCTTGGAGGCAGCGCTGGTACCACATATGTCCACTAATTTCCTCTGTCTCTTTGTATTTTCAGTGATCAGAGCAAAAGCTGTTTCCGAGAGAGAGGTAGACTCTGGTAATGACATCTATGGAAATCCCATCAAACGTATCCAGTATGAGATCAAGCAGATAAAGGTAAATATAACATTTTCATGATGGTCTCATTTACATGGAATTAAAAAACAACAGTTGAAAAAAATTAAGAGGAACACAGCATAAGCTAAGGATTAAAAAAATACAGAGACCCTACCAGCATGTTACCTTTGTGTTGTTCTAGCTTCTGGGGCAATACAGTTGTTTTGTTAACAGAGGGAATGGTCCCAAAAAAGGGCTCTGAAGGTTTTTAGTTACCACTGATATCTTATCAGTGATGATGTCTCTTTCACTCCTGTTTCTCAAATGCCCAAGTCTGGAACAACTCAAGGAATGCACAACTTGGGACTCACACAGCACTGTGAAGATTTTTAAAAGCCTATTGTTCAGCTTGTTTAATGGTGAAATAAGGCCCTCATACACCCTGGAGTTAGACCCAGGAATCCTAACACTCCATAGTGAGTTTGGGATAGGGAAGTAGGCACAGTCTTATTAATGAATTATGATTTCTCAAAAATATGTGAAAGCAGCTGAATACAAATGTTCTGTTAGAACTAACTGGACTTTGAATCACCTAGTACCTCTCTGGCTACACTGATTGAGCCAAGGGGGAAAAGACCATGACAACTATTGATCACAAACCTTGTCTTTAACGACTTTTCTGGAAGAACTTGGATTGGCACTTCTACTTCTGAAACGAGCTTTGTGTTATTAAAATGGCTTCAGCCTAATCAATTAAGCTGCAAAATATTAACATGACTGTCGTTATGACAGGTAAGAACTTGTCTAGTACAAAGACCTTGGAGAGGGCAGTGCATCCTTGCATGCTTTATGTGCAGCAGTACCACTGCCAACGAAGCACAGGCCGCTAAGTGATAGTGCAGCATTTTATCTTACTTTATCATCATGTAGGAGGGGTTAAATGTATTGTCATTGGTTTTGCCAGACTTTGGGGCCTGGGAGTAGAGTGAGCATCACCAATCAAGTTGTTTGCATACTTTTAAAAGGTAAAGGTTCCCTTGCTCGAAAGCCAGTCGAATCCGACTCTAGGGTTGCGGTGCTCATCTCCGTTTCAAAGCTGAAGAGCCAGCGCTGTCCAAAGACGTTTCCGAGGTCATGTGGCCGGCATGACTAAATACCAAGGCGCACGGAATGCTGTTACCTTCCCACCGAAGTGGTACCTATTTATCTACTTGCAATTTCTTGCTTTCGACCTGCTAGGTTGGCAGGAGCTGGAACTAGAGACAGGAGCTCACTCTGTCATGCGGCAACTCGGGTCTCGAACTGCTGAACTACCGACCTTCCAACAGCCTGCAGTTCAGCGTCTTAACCACTTGAGCCACCGCAGCTCCATGCTTTTAGATTGGCTCAAATAGTTTGGGGGAGGTTCATTAAGACGGCATGTTGGAACCCTTTTTCTAGAACATCACAGCTCAGAGTTGAACACAGTGGAAGTATCTTATTTCAGAGCACAACTTATATCTTTAAGCAATACACACAGTCAGTCCCCACTGAGCCTTACTTCATCTTGCAAGCCTGCATTAGGCAACCTTAATCCCACCCATTGATGTCCATGATTAGAAACAAGAAACTGAAGGGGTAGGAGCCCTTTGGTTGCCCTTAGTGAAAAACAGTTCTTTCTTTTGATGCAAGATGATTGACAGCAAAGATGATTGACAGCAAAGGTTTTTCATTCTAATGTGTCTTACGGAATAAGCAGGGTTTTTTTTTGGGGGGGGGGTGAGTAGGAAAGAGAGAACTGGCTTGAAGAATCCTTGTGATAAAAACAGACTGGCACCTTATATCCCCTGCGATGTGCTTTGGCTCCCAAGGGCATGGTCTACCACCCTCCTTCAAAATCAAACCTGGATCACTGCCTCCTGCTTATGTTCTGGGAAATGTGTTCAACTGCTGTGTTTGGGTTGAAGAATGCACAGTAGTGCTAAACAATCTGGCCGAGTCCTTGCTGTGCGGGGGCAGGCATGCCTGTCACTTGTCGTGATGACACTCCAAAATGAGTCGAAAGGCTGAACATCACCAGACACCTGTCGAGACATGGCCCTTGCTGGCACCATGAATGGATATCCTGTTTATCCCAAGACTGCTGGTGGCTTGAACAGCACCTTGTCTTGTGCTGTCTAGATTACCTACTTCACAGAAATACTGGCACTGGTGTCTCCTGTACTTGGCCTCACCAATCCCTTCCTTTCTAGATGTTCAAAGGGCCTGACCAGGACATTGAATTCATCTACACGGCTCCTTCATCAGCAGTATGTGGAGTGACACTGGATGTTGGCGGCAAAAAAGAATATCTCATTGCCGGTAAGGAATATCTCCAACATAGAATCATTGCCACCCCCTGCTCCCAGAAAGGCCAGGGAGAAGAAAGAGAGCCAACTGTAATACTTCTGGAAGACGTTATTTTGGGTGTCCACATTCAGACCTGTACTTCAATATGAAGCACTGTCCCCTCAGTCTAAACTGCCTTACAGATCTGCTGTGGAAAACTCTGCCTTTTGAACTCCTTGGAGAAAAGGGTGGGATGCAGGCAGCCCCGTAGCCAGGAATTCTTTCATGGGGGGCGCGGGGGCTCCAGGGGAACTAATTAGATAAAAAGTTAAAATAAAATAATTAAAATTAAAATGAATTTCCAGTCAGTCAGTTTTTATTCGGTGCATAAGCAGCACAAAAATGAATTTTAAATTAAAATAAATGACCGGAAGATGCAGGCATTGCAGGCAGGCAGGGCAGAACGGCATGGGAGGGTCTTGTAGCATCATCATAGGGTCACATGACAGGTCACATGTTATCAGCAGTGAGCTCCTCCCCTACCTGCCTCCTCCATATCCCCATATGCCATCCAAGGCAGGCAGGGCAGTGGGTGGTGAGCGGGTGCCTCCTCTGGGGGAGGAAGGAGGATGGAGGAAGGCAGCATGGTGCAACAGCACCATCTGCCCCAAGCTCCTTCCTGCCTAGCTGAAGGAAGGAAGAAAGGGACTTGCCCTTCGGGCCGGCACGGCAGTGGCCCAAACAAGTTACTTAAATTTAAAAAGAAACAAAAAAGGGAACATTGGGGTAGGGGGCCTGCTGCCCCCCCCCCCCCCACTGGCTATGGCACTGAATACAGATATAATGAATCCAAGAATTCCTTGGGATGTAATCAAACAATTCTCTCCCTTATGTCCTCTGCTGGCTACCGGGTGCCACTAGGATTATATGCACTTCCCACTGAAATATATGAACTATCCCCTGGTGCATGGGACAAGCGGAGCTTTTGGTGTATGGTACTCAGTTACGCTGATGTCAGAATGGAGCTGGAACTGGTGCCTGTGAGCTGCTCTTGCTTTTAAATTACCGTATACTAGGCACAGAGGTTTGCCAAGCGCCATCTACTGGCATTTTCATGCAAGGACCACCAATATCCTTTCTGCAGCCAGCTCTATTTCTGCAAGACTCTGGGGGCTGTAATGAGGCATGCTATGCAGCAATCTTCAAGGCACGGTTGCCAGCCTCCAGGTGGGGCCTAGAGATCTCCTGGGATTACAATTGATCACCAAACTACGGAGATCAATTTTCTTAGAGAAACTGGCTGCTTTGGAGGCTGGACTGTACAGCATTATACCTCGCCAAGGTACCTCCCCTACCCAAACCCTGCCCAGTCTAGGCTCCACCCTGTCTGTACTGGGCTTGGTATCAACAAGTCCTTTTTGCAGCCCACACTTGTATTGTTGGCCCCTCTTGGCGAAGGTGAGACACCTGCAAGTCGGTAAACGGACTTTGGGAGCTGATTAAGAAGATATTTGATACGGAGTGTCATGAATTCTGTTTGTGTCTGATATATGTCCCAATTAAAAACATTTTGTTCTGCTAGGAAAATCTGAGGGCAACGGCAACATGCACATCACACTGTGTGACTTCATTGTCCCTTGGGATTCCCTCAGTGCTACCCAGAAGAAGAGTCTAAACCAGCGATACCAAATGGGCTGTGAGTGCAAGGTAAATCTGAATATGACCATCTTAGATTTTGGACCTTCTGCTACTTTATAGGAGGATCCTAAATTTTAGGTTAAAGTGTGTGGCTCTTGTTAGGAAACATTTTAGATGCTTGCTTAATGTAAGGAGGATGTGTCCAAGTTAATGTTTGATAGGAATATTCTATCCTGTGGCCATAACAAGAGACTGAAGCACTTGCAGTCCTTCAGTCTGAACAGTAACAGGGACTGTTCTTTCACCTTTTACTATAGGTTAATATCTAAAATGATTTGCCATTGCTCAAGTGTGCCTAAACACCACATCCTCATAAGCCCTGCTGTGTCATAATGAAATGGCAACTCAAAGAGATTCAGATACCTGGAGGACGCTTGGAGGTTATTTAAAACCACACTATTGAGGTCCAAATAGAATGCATTTCCCAGGTTAGGAAAGGTGCTGCCAACTCTAAAAGGATGCCTGCATGGTTAACAATCCAAGTCAAGGAAGCCATAAAATGCAAAAAGGCTTCTTTGAGTAAGTGGGAGGTCTGCCCCAATGAGGTGGACAGAAGGGAGCACAAGGTCTGGCAAAGAGAGTGCAAGTTAATAATCATGCAAGCAAAAGGAGAACTGGATGAGTGGGGTTGCTAAAAGCATCAAGACAAGCAATAAGCATTGCTTTAAACACATCCAGAGCAGGAAACTGGCCAGAGAGGCAGATGAGCCTTTTGATGACAAAGGAATAAAAGGCTTGCTAAAGGAAGATGTTGAGATGGCAGAGAACCTAAATGAATCCTTTGCATTTGTGTTAACTGTGGAAAATTTGGGACCCAGACTCCATAGCAACTATTTACAGGAAGGGAATCTGAAGAACTGACTCAAGTTAAGTTGATGAGAGATGGAAGTTCTAGATCAGGGTCTAACATGGTGCCCATGGGCAACTTGGCACTCAGCAACACTTTTCCTGGTGCCCACCAAGTGTTTTTAGAAAGTGGGTGGGGCCACATGAGGTTTTGTCCCAGCAAAGCTTCTGATTGGGCATTGGAGATTTGATTGCTTGGGCAGGTTTTTAAAACATTGCTTTGGCGGCAGCTGCCATGATAGCAGAAGGATCTTCCGTGCGTGACTGGAAGATAAGCTGCAGAGGCCATTTTATGGCTGGCTCCTCCACCTCCTGTGGCTGTGCCCACCATCATGCTATGTCAGAATTCCAAAAGCACCTGTAGGTCTCTGGGTCCTGATGCCGCACAGCCACACAGCCAAGGTGTCTTAAGGAATTCAAATGTGAAGTTGTTCATCTACTAAGCAGTGTATATAACCTGTCACTAAAATGAGCCAGTGTGTATCAGAAGACTGGAGAGTAGCAAATACTACACTAATTTTTTTTAACAAGGGGGCCAGGGGAGAACCAGGAAATTACAGTCCAGTTAGCCTAACATACTTTCCAGGCAAATTAGTAGAAACAGTAATCAAAGATAGAATTATTAGGCACATAAAGGAACAGAACCTGCTGAGGGAAAATCAGCATGGCGTCTGTTGAACCAGACTTCTGGAGTTCTTTGAGAAAGTGAACAAACTTGTAGACAACAGTGTAGGCCCGTAGCTACATTGGGGCTATTTGGGCTCCTTCCCCTTTCTTAAAAGGACAGCCCCACAAGATTTTCTGCAGAAACCCCTTTTTAAAGTCATTTTTAAACATTTATTTAAAGGCACATGGTCCTGCGGTGAACCACGCGCCGAGAACAGAGCCGAAAAGTCTTCCGCCCTCCACAACTTTTCAATTCCCATGCCCAACCTTTTTGTTTCTTTCCCCAAATACTTTTTAAAAAGATTTGCAGTGGACCCTTCTTCCTCCTTCTCCCTGTCCATACCTGCTGCTTCATTAGTATAGCTGCATGGCTGGCTGAGCAGAGCCATCCAATCAGAAGCCTGTATTTGGAGAGGGGGTGTGGCGGGGCCAGTCGGGTGTGTTAGTGGCGATGGCATTGGCTAGTGACTCTGCTGGGTGTAGCTGACAACCTCCCTCCCATTGGCCGGTCTGAAAACAGCCTGCAAAAGGTCCAGAGCAGAGTAGCGATCCAAGAAGTTGTGGAGGTGATCTGTTCCTGCTTTCCCTCAGTCACTTTGCCTCGGAAGGGCAGAGGAGAGACCAAGCGATCACTGACTCCACCATTTCTCTGTAGGGATGATATTTTCAGGAAGACGTTTTAAAAACTATTTATAACATTTTAAAAGTAATACCAGTTTCTTGTCAACAACACAACAGCAGCATTTCTCCCTTCTGGGGCTGAGAAGCTGATCCCCCCCATGTGAATAAACCTTCTTAGGATCTGGCTGCAAGGCTTTTTTCCCTTCTCTTGCAAATTTGAACGCCTCCTTGTTCTCTTTGTCCATTCAATACCAAAGGCCCCCCCCCAGACCTTTTCCTCCCCCTCTTGCTCGGCCTCTCTAGGAAGCAGCTCACTTACTCTAACCCTTTCAGTGCTGCAGACAAAGGAGAAAAACTCCACGAGGATGGTATTTGACACCTCATTTATGTCTTTATTATTAGTTAAAAGTACAGACAGAAAAATAATGGCAGCCCCACCAAAAAATTTTTTGCCCCACAAGCCACAAAATCCTGGCTACAGGCCTGCAACGTTGTATATTTGGACAAGGTACCTCAACAAAGATTCCTGAGCAAGCTTAGCAATCATGGGATGAGAGGGCAGGTCCTTTTATAGATTAAAAATTGGCTAAACAATTGGAAGCAGAGAGCAGTAATAAATGGACAGTACTCTCCATGGAAGGAAGTACACAGTGGGGTCCCACAAGGATTGGTACTGGGGTTGGTGCTATTTAATTTGTTCATAAATAAGTCTGGAACTGGTGGCCAAGTTGGTAGAGGACACGAAATTATTCAGGATAGTGAAAACCGAGGTGGACTGTGAAGAGATCCAGGATGATCTCTACAAACTGGGTGAGTGGGCAACAATGTGGCAAATGAAGTTCAGTGTAGTCAAGTGCAAGGTGATGCACAGTGGAACAAAGAAATCCCAGCTTCAACTATAATAAAGATTGCAAGCGGTGATGTTAGGTCTCTTTTATTATTATTTTTCATCTGTTAGAACTGGAAGGGGGATTGCTCCAAGTGAAATAATGCATTGCTTTCAGACTGGACAAAATCCACTCACTGCTAGTGATGATGATAAAAAGTTTAAAAAGAGGGGGGGGCATGAAGAAAGACAGCAGGAGGGGAGACCACATGTTGAACTGGAATATATGAAACTATAAATGTATTTTTAAATACTTAGCCATCTACTTCCATTGGATCCAATCCAAGTGCTGTAATTCCCAACCAGGGTCTTTTTTAAAGAAAATCCCAGATAGGCAAACAGAAACCTAATCTTATGGGGGGGGGGAACCTTTTCAGAGTAAGCCAAAATAATTTCCCCTTAATTTCTATTATTCCAGATGCATCTCTTTTCTGTCCCCCTTCCTTTTCTAACATTAGGGTGTGTATGTGTGTGATCAGATCTCACAGTAAACGGCAGAGCAGGCTTGTCAGAATAATCTCTCTCTTCCCCCCCGCCCCCCTCCCTCTCAGTATGCATGCACAGGAAAGCTTATATGTGGAATCAAACTTCGTTGGTTTTGAAGGTGCCATGGGACTCCCTCTCCCATGTCACTCGGAAGTGACGCGACCATGCCGGGCACGCTGGGGGCGGGGCCACGACCACCCGAGGGGAAACCATAGTTTTCCCTCGGATGACCGTGGCCCCACCCCCAGCGTGCCCGGCGTGGTCGCGTCACTTCCGGGCGACGTACACGTTGGGGTGGGGTTCCCCCTGGGGCCCGATCCGCCGGCGGCAGGAAAGGGGCCTCTGGGGTGGGGGTTTCCCTGCCCCCCGGGGGGACTTGGCAAGCCTACTGCACACATGCACGCTCTCTTTTTCCTTCCCCCTTGCTTCCCTAAAGAGGAAGAGACGTTTTGGGAACGCAGCAGCAGTAATGGCTGGGAAATGCAAGCACTTCCTCGTGGGCCGTATTCCAGCCCTGCAGGGGCCGGATACAGCCCGTGGGCCACATGATCGACACCCACATTGTATAGGAACATCAAGAGCGTGGAGATATTGGGCCTTCCTGCCCAAATAGTTAGTGAGTCCAAGTCTGGCAGGAGAACAAATATAGGGTTGGGCTGGTTGGAGTTTTTGTTGTTCAATATTGATAAGACGTTGCTTAATTGTTTTAAAGTTATAGGATTTGTCAGATAAAGCTAGATCATCAAGTGCAATCCCAATTTGATTGAGTTTGAATTTAATTGAGGCATCCCAATTCGTATTATGCAATTCATTTTTCAAAAAATTTAATAGGGATCCCGACTCTGCTCTAAAATAGAGATTGAACCAATAATGTATTCCCAGAATCCAAGCTTTGGTCCTAATTAAATTTTGGCCAGCTTCTAGACCAATTGTGAAATATTGACTATAACCTAATAACGCTAAATGGTTTATCACAGTTTCCTACAACCATGAATTGACTTTTATTTCTTCTTATGGCTGTAGTGTGGTAGACTATGGCATTTGCTATCCTAGTCTATTGCCTTTTATTAAGGATGTGAAATTCCAACTTGATGGTGATGATCTATTGATGTCTGGAGGAAAAATGCAACCCAAATGCTAGCAGGAAAGGGTGAAGGGTGTGGAAAACCCATGACTGAGTGACAATTGTCTGAAAAGGCTGTTTCTAGTTTGTTTTTAATCACCTCCTTCGTGTTTTGAAGGAAATTTGATGACTTGCATGTTTGCTGCTGAGCAGGTGAAGAGACTGGCTCTTTAACTGTGGCTCTTGGTTGTTCAGAGCAAGAACTCCTGCCTGGTTTGATACCCAAGGTTACAACTACTCTCCTCTTTTAGGAGAAATGTGCTTGTACAAGAAACTTCAGTCTCATTAGCAATTGAAATGGTTCTTAGTTTGTTGATGGTTGTCTCTTCTTTCTGCAGATCTCCCGCTGCCCCTCCATCCCTTGCTTTGTCTCTGCTCAGGATGAGTGTCTGTGGACTGATTGGGTGACTGAGAAGAACATCAATGGGCGGCAGGCAAAACACTATGCCTGCATCAAGCGAAGTGATGGTTCATGTGCATGGTACCGTGGAGTGGCCCCACCTAAGCAAGAGTTTCTTGACATTGAGGACCCTTGAGTCCCCAGCGCCATGGCAGTCCAGTAGCAACAAAGCCTGCAAGAAATTAGACTGGTCCACCTCTGACATCATTTCCTGGAAACAGCATGAAAATAAGGTCTCCTGGGCAGGCACAATGGTGGTGGAGGGGAGGGGCTAAAGGAGATGTCTAAGCCACCCATATGTTGGTTTGTTGGTTTCCACCCCTGTGTTGTGTCAACGAGCGGTTTCTTACAACTGGGATCACAGTTATCAACATGCCAAGGCATAGTTTGGGGGGGGACGGACCAGAATGAACAGTACGAATGGCTGAAAAATATTCCCTCTGATTCTGTGTAGCAGGCCTACCAGGTTCTTATTGTCTTGAGAGAGGGCAGCCACTGCTGTAGGGACAGCTCCCATCCCAACCCCACTGGCTTCTGCTTGTGTAAAACCCTATCTTCCCCTTTATATATATACATGCACGCACACACAGCACAAATTAAACTCTACCCTCAGTGCTTCAGAATCATTCCCTTCTCTGCCACATGCGCACATAGCTACTGGACTGAGAGCAAACCTAGCCCCCAAAACAAAAGAGGATTGATTTCCCACAATTCTGGTGAACACTGCATTCCCTTTCCTGTTGCAAAGCAGCTCCTGTGTGTTGCAAGGGCAGAGAGGGCACTGCTTTCAAGAACAACGTTTTGGTGACTAGTTGGGTCACAGTTAATGGATATTAAACCACTGCTGTTGTGTGTATGGGATAACTGTGTGCAGATTTTAGTGCTGCATTCTCAAGTATAAAGTTTTAATAAAAGAATATTCAAGTGGGAAGCTGGGTTACCTATCAGGTCTCCCAATCAACCATTTGCTGTGTCTACTTCCTAGAGCATGCTTGTGCCGTAAATGTAATTCTAGTGCCAAAGCCCCTCCCAACCAGTGGAAAGACTCACTCTTCCCTTTTAGTATTTGGTAGATCATAGGGGTCCTTCTTCTCCCCCTACTTAAAATGTCATGTTATGTGGAGTAATGATTTTAACCATGACCATACTTCAAGCTCTTTAGCCTGCACAGTGCAGTAGTGAACCTTTGTGGAGAGAACTGCCCTAGAAGTCCTCCTCCCAAAAATGTTATAATGGGAGACAGAAATTCGAGGCACACCTATCTAAACTGTGATTATAAATGTTCCTTTGGAGTCACAAAACGAACACTGGCTGCCTGCAAAATAATCACATCATCCAGCTCTGTTTCCAGATTTTCTGAACCTCCAAAGGAAGTTTAGAAAACTTTTGAGGGCCAGATGTTAAAAACATAAATAAGTATAGACAAAAGAGTGTTTATTTCAAAAACATATAAAAACCTTGTAGGGGCCCAAATAAAGCCTCATAAAATGTTCAAAGTGACAAATGCGCGCACACACAAAAACCAGTGTATGACCTGATGTGTTTTCTTCAGAGGTGTGTTCAATCCACAATCCAATTCTTTTTTGTGCATTTGTCACTTTGAACATTTTATGAGGCTTTATTTGGGCCCCTACAAGGTTTTTATATGTTTTTGAAATAAACACTCTTTTGTCTATACTTATGTTTTTAACTTCTGGCCCTCAAAAGTTTTCTAAACTTCCTTTGGATGTTCTTGCTTGATTGGTTTACTTTCTCTTCCCCTCTTTTCTTGGGTCCAGATTTTCTGAGCCAGCTTTGTTTCTTTGCTGTGGCTCCCAAGCTCTGCTTAGCCACCCCCATTTGCAAGCCCCCAAAATCAGTTGAAAATCAGTTGGGGGGGTGCCCGGAAGTACTGTCAGCCAGCCCTGCCCCCCCCCCCCCGGTCTTTTCATGCTGTTCATCAAGGTAACTTTTTAAAAGATGTCATATTGGACCAGTCTGTTTGATTTTCAGTATATTTTAAAAAATCTGTTCAATCCAATATAAGACTCCTGGTTTTGCCTCCTGTATGGTTATATCATATGTGACATTTACCTCTCTCTGCTGATACTCTTTGATTGTAATGTTTTCCATTTGTTTTGGCACTCAGTTGTATCATTCCTGTGCTCTATTATTATTATTATTATTATTTTAAATTTCCTTCTTTAGCGGTTAGATTTGCACTTACTATTTTTAAAGGGGTTCTGCATTGGAAGCTTTCAACATACAGTGGGAAGAATGTTAAAACATGTGGAGGGTAGAGACCTCCGGTTATTTTATAATACCAGTGGCAGTGGTATTTCTCCTTCTGTCTTCCTCCTCCTGCCCCTACAGCAGGCACAGACTTTTTCCAAAGTTTGGAGGCTGGCTGTGATATATGACTGCTTCTTGCTAGCCAGATTGCAGTCCCAGAACCTGCCAGGGACTAAGATCAGCTTGCCAGTCCAGCAGTTGCGTGAAAAGCAACCATTGTGAAATATCTATTTATGGAAAAAGCAGTTGTCAAAGGCTCTTCATTTGGCTTAATTTATCACTGTGGCTTCTGGTGCCGCACTGAACCTTCCTGGAAACACAAAAGAACACACAAATATACAGGTTCCCCTTCTTCCTCATGCCAGCAACTCAAAATATTTAAAAGAAAGTTTACATTATTTTCAAATCTTTGCTTAGTAAGTATGAAAAATAAGTATCTAACTTGCAGCCATAATTTAAAGCTTGTTGGGGAGCTGGGATGTTGTCTGGTGGGTGAAGTAATATTGGGGGGTGGGGGGACCTTTTTTGCCATTGGATTCTGAAAGCTGAGATTTTCTTGTGCTGGGAACACATGAAAGTTGTTGAATAGACAAGCAGACTGTGCATGTCTCAGACGCTTTGTATAATTCATACGTGGACATTTGAGTCTTCGGACAATAAACAGTATTATCAAATAAAATGGGAACAGTCTCTTCTTGTTTGGAGAATACTTTGAATCTGCAGAAGGGCAATAATTGGCAATGAGTGCACTAAGCCCTGAGAAGCAATTAGTATTGCCACCTAGGCCTTTTGACTGGTGTGAACCAAGTAACGGGGTTGTCATGGCATGAAGTTGAGCTAAGCTAAAGATGCTAAGTTTCCTCCAGATAGACACACTCCCCCCCCCCATGCTCCTTGGCATAAACTGATCTGTGGTTCTCTAACAATGGAGATGGTTGGTTTTCTGCTACTAAGGCTGTTTCCAAAGTTCTTTCAGTACCCATGCTGTTGGCTTCTATGACCTTCAGGACAGACACAAAGAGGCTCAAAGAGTACTTACTTCATGGATTTCACATGTAGTGAAGGACTGTACTTAAGCTGGCTTTGAAAATGGTTAGACAAATGCATGGAGGATAGGTCCATCAATGGAACCTTGATGTTCAGAGGCAGTGACATTCTAAATACTAGTGATGGAGGGCAACAAGAAGGGGAGACTTCAGCCTAGTAAAGGTAAAGGTTCCCTTGCTCGAAAGCCAGTCGAGTCCGACTCTAGGGTTGCGGTGCTCATCTCCGTTTCAAAGCCGAAGAGCCAGCGCTGTCGGAAGATGTTTCCGTGGTCATGTGGCTGGCATGACTAAACACCAAGGTGCACGGAACGCTTCAGCCTACATGCCCAGTTTATAGGTCTTCATGGGAACATCTAATTGGTGTTAAATAGGATGATGGACTAGATGGGCCATTGGTCTGGTCCAGCATGGCTGGTTTTACATCCTTATGTACACCTGTCTTTTGAACATTGTGGTTTTAAGGAAAAGGCTCTCCCCAAGAGCAGTTATTTCAGAATCACACAGTGATTTATCCAAATGAGGCTCCATGTCAAGTATGTTCTACCTTCAGTTACTTCACTGAAGGAATCTAGCAGGTATCAAGAATCTAGTTCTGGCATCATTGAAAGAATCTCTGACTTGCTTTTTTCACAGGATCCCAGTTAACCTGGCAATCAGCTGGGTCCAAAGCATCTAATTTCTCAACCAGGGTGTTTCTTGCTTTTCTACTTGACATATACCTGGAGTTCTCTAAGGGTCACAGAGAGGGAGAATTATCTACAACCCTAAAGAAGTTTCATGGCTAGATTAATCTATTTAGCTAACCAAGTTTGGATACCTTATTTACAAACCCTTAAATAGACTTCGGCTACGAAAGATTAAGACTAACTCACTGTTAGTCTTTAAGGTGCCACTGGACATCTCTTTTGCTACAATAGACAAATGTGGCTATCCCTCTAGAATTCACAAAACATTTTTACATTCTTGCTGATCATATGCCTATCTGGGTTGAACGTGTCATTTCTCAAATGGCTGGGATGGATCTACGGAAAACCTAATCCTGCACATGGGACAATGACAGCATTTCAAGGGCTCTGCATCCTGAAAGTACATATCATTGTAATGAACGGTCACACTATGTCATGGCAGATCATTTTTTTTAGTCACCAGCTCTATGGTAGAGCATATGCTTTATATGCAGGTAGCCCCTGGGACAATTCCTACCATTTCCAATTAAAAGGTTCTCAAGCAGCAAAAACAGGAAAAGTCTTTGAGAAACTGGAAAATTGCTCCATATCAGACTAAGTAGTACTAACCATGGTGGACTAATAGTCTGATTCAATGTTAGACAGTTTGACCTGAAAATCAGCTACTGCATACTACTAAAAAACGCTTAAGTATAGGGACAGACCACTGATTTTGGCACGCTCGGAGAAGGAATTGCTTATGTAAGATGTTATAATCACTGGCTAGGGTTGTGAGATGCATGCAAGCAGTATTGCAAGGAAGATGTAGCCTAAAGAGGATGGCAGAGAACAGTGGCCAAAAGAGCATTATAACAGGATTTGTTGCCACTCACTCTTGACTTGATGCCTCTGAGCTTCAAAAGAGGGGTCTCTAGAATTGCCCTGGCAATCCATTCTTCCATTCACATTAGAGTGAAAGTGATGTTAGCCATCTTTTACAGTGCAATCCTATGTTATATTACACCCTTGTATGTCCATTGACATCAATGAAAGTAGAAGGGTGTACTGCTGCTTAGGATGGCACTGTTATATAGGCCTCAGTCAGCTGTTAAGTCATTTAATATGCACTCCAAGGTTTAATGTGATCAAACTTTCTGAAGAAGAACCATCCATACCAAAAGTCCAGTCCTGCAAGGGACAGGATAACATAAATTTTCTGCTACTTAATCATTATTATCCTTTTCAGAGGAGGATAATTGCAGATGGATAGCTATGTTAGCCTGTAACAGCAAAATTAAACTAATCTAATGACATCTTGAAGACTAAAACAATTCCTGCACAAGCTTTTGTGACTCAGAGTTTAATTCCTCAGATATATGAGGTGTATGTCCATAGCAGGTATATACAGGTATATACAGCAACAGTAAGGAGGGGGTGGGGAGGTGTTATAAAGAGAGGCCAGTTAAAAACAATAACCAATGAAAAGAAAGATCAATCTAATCAGTGGTGAGGACCACTCCCAATTGTTGATTGACAGGTAGAGTAAGATCAATATAAATCAGATATGACCAAGAAAGGAGTAGTATGAAACCAGGTAAGTAGATCCAATCAGGGCAATACAAAGGGTTTGTAAAACTACAGCTGAATAAATTCACAGCCATGAAAGGGTGAGTCATGCTAAGGTATTAGCACCTATAGTGAGTAAGGAAACCCAAGTTCTTCTTTGGATGAGAACATTGAATCAGAGGGGGTTAATTTTACTTAATTTTACTTCTGAAAGATATCCTTACTATATAGGGAGAGCCTGTTTATTTTATTTTTGCAGAAGTGTGCACTCTAATGCTGGGTACTGAGGACAGAATTCTAAGCTCAGTTGGGAATTTGTTTAATAATCATGAGTTTCCCTCCTGGTTTATGATGAAGAAAGAAAAAAATGGGGGGAAATTTCACAAGTGGGCAGTGAAAATAGCAGAGGTAAGTAGATCTGGATAGCCCAATCTCAGCAGATGCCAAGCAGGGTCAGCCCTGGTTAGTCCTTGGATGGGAGACCACCAAGGAAGTCCAGGGTTACTACTGATGGCACCTTCTACCAAGCAGATGGTGAGTAATGTAATACTTTGCAAGCCCCAAGATGCATGTGGGTGGAACGGCTGTCTCTGCAGCAGCAATCACAGCAGCAATCACAGATAGGAGCAGTGTTCCCTCTAAGCTGAGTTAGTGTGAGCTAGCTCACAGTTTTTTAGCCTCCAGCTCACACACTTTTGTCTTTGCTCAGGAAGGATGACTCCAAAGCAAACTACTATATGCAGTAGCCAAATCGCTCGCTCACAACTTTAATGTCAGTAGCTCACAAAGTAGAATTTTTGCTCACAAAATGCATAGAATGACTAATGTACTATTTATAACAGTATCTGCTTTCTTTGTCTTTCT